CTAACCCCATATACTAAAAAAACCATCAAAAAGAGCAAATGACCGGATAGCTACCGGCCATAACAAGTTGCTGACATTACAGTAACTTTTATGTTCATTTATGTACTCCTGCTGTCCTACATGTGCCACCTGCTTGTTTTTCTTTTATTTTCTTTCTTCTTTTTTTCTTGTTTATCGATTAATCGTGACCTTCTTGGCTGAAGTACTGCACCCATAATCCCATATATTGTCTTTTTTTTTCCTACAAACGATTTAGGTTTTTCTTACTCTTTTTTCTTACTACCTTTTTTAGCTATTGTCTTCTGACTCTTCTCCCAAGAAATATTTTCATACATTTCTTTCTAATTATTTCAATAAATTATCCATCATTTTTTATTCATAAATAATGTTCAATCTTGGAAAAAATAAAATTGTCCTTATCATTAAAACTGAATTGTCATTAATACGTATTTCTAACTTTGACATACTTAGAGCCCGTCTGGTAACGCTGAAATTGGTTGAATTGTTTGATTCTGTTGAAATTTAAGAAGGTTTGGCAGAAGTGATTGTACTGTATTGACTCATTCAACTGATTTATGAAAAAAATTATATTTAAAATATTTTTTATTGATAAATAAAATAAAAATTATTTGAAAAATAGTTAAAATAATGATCCTCTATAATAACTTCGACCAATACAGCCAGAAAAGTAACTACAACCTTACTTTATCTTATTATTACACAATTCAGCGCACGAAATTAAAAGTTACGTGTTTGGTGAAAAAACTGGCTGAAAAGCCTTATAAGTCGAAAAAGGGTCAACTTCTTAATATAGTAACTTTTGATATGTTTTTTTTTGCTTATCACCTTTAACTTTTGATATGGTTAATAATTATACTATTTTTATAAACATCTCCAAAATCTTTCCCACCTATATTTTTTGTCTCTATGGTTAGACCATATTAAAAAAACGTCAGTCTTAAAATTCAAATTTTATAGACAATAATAGTGTGTCACACACAAAAATGTTACATACTAGGTAAAAATTATATACGGTAGTATGTTTTATTCATTATCTCACCAAAAACCATATTGTGAAAATGTTCCACACACGGTGGCGGAGCCAGAGGTTTGTCCAAGGAGGGGCAAACTGAAGACTAAAAATTTTAAAGTGCGTGTCCAAAATATAATAAGAACAACAATGGCGTAATTAATTAGCAAAAAAATTATAGTTCATTACATGCTACTTGATTTACTTTTGCAACGTAGGCAAATCAATCCTACGAGTTTCATATTTTGAAAATGCTGCATAATAGCTTCATTATCAATTGCTTGAAAAATGTCTCTTTCGATGTAGCGTACTAAACAATCCGTAAGATAGTCATCTCCCATCTTATTGCGAAGATCTGTCTTGATAATATTCATCACTGAGAAAGCTCTTTCAACTGTGGCTGTTGCAACTGGTAACACTAGAGCCAACTCAATAAGACGATTGACCAAGTGAAAAGATTTGTGAATTGTAAGCTTAACCATCTTCTTAGACACTTCACCAATACTTTGTAAAGTGGAAAATGCTTCATTCCCTCTCATCTCATATATCCAAACTTGGAGTTGTTCTTTAAGCTCCATTTGCTCAACAGCTGAAAAATCAGATGAATACAACTCCGCAAGACTGAGGAGACTTCTTCCAGTTACGGAATCCGGTCCTCACAAACACATCATCACCAAATCTCTTTCCTTCTTGCCCATGAAAAAGGTAACACCAAAAACAGAAAGCAGCATCTTCAGAAATACTACTACCTCCGTCCCGTTGGAATGTTCCCGTTGGAATGTTCCCGTTCGGTTTACGATGCTTGACTGACAATAAAGCAACTCGATCCCTGTTCACACTCCGCTTATTTTTAGTAAATAAAATTTACATATTCTGAAACTACATTAAAACCGCTACAAAGCCTGATCAAGAAAAGTTCAATTTGATAAAAATTTGATATATAAAGTAAAAGATTAGTAGTGACCTAAGTTGACCAATGAATAGTGAACGGGAACATTCCAACGGGACGGAGGGAGTATATTCCAACCATTCCCAAGTTTTAAACCATTCTCCTCGAAAGCTCCTTAATGACTTTCCAAATTCAGTTCGTGGAAACTTATGAGATGCTGGTTGACAGGCACCTTTAACAACATATGCTCTCATCACATCATCCCTAACCCCCGGCGCATATTCATTAATTGGTTTTCGTAAAAATGGATCACTAATAATATCCCATTCATGTGTACTTTCTGTTCGGTCTCTCTTGTCCCTCTCATTCCTCTCATCTCTAGCAATATTTTCATTTGACGCAGTGGCATTTCCAACACCGGAGATAGACTGATTAGGAACAATTGAAGAATTAACACTTAATCTTAAAATAACCTTAAGTTGTACTTGTTGTTTTTAAAAAAAGAAGCCGGGGAAAGAAACATATTATAAGTAATACTAGTAAAAAAAATTGGTCGGAGCGGGGGCGCTTGCCCCCCCTTGCCCCCCTAGCTCCTCCACTGTCTAAAGATTCACACTTTTTATGCCACTAATTTATTGTTTATAAATGTAGTTTTTTCGGATTTGTATTTTTTTGTGTGCCCAAACTTAACAAACAAAAGTTGTTGGTATAAAGGAGTATGAAATGTATACAAAAAATATAAATCCTTTTACGCCATCTGAAACATTTCTGTAAGTGCGAGACACTTTATTTTTTGTAAAATTGAATTTCTTCGATCAATATTTTTTATCTATGGCTAAACTTTACACAAATATTTGTTGTATGTAGAATTTTAAAAAAGTGAACAAAGTTACACATTTTATCAGTAGTTTAACTTATGACACTTTTATTTGTCCGTGTCTGACAATTATTGTCTATAAAATTGCAATTTTCCCGATTAACAATTTTATCACCCAACTTTAAAGAAAAAAGTTGTCAGTGTAAAAAATGTTGAAAAAGTGTACAAAAAGTATACAGTTAGATTGGAGGGATGCATGTTGTAGCAGAAAGAGAATCAAAACATGTTATAAGTTGGACAAAACATTTCCTGTGTTGTATGTTTAAGTCTTGTCTTATCTGATTAAGTAAAAATATGATTTATATGTATTTAATTATTAATAATAAAGCCTGATCTGATTTTGTGTAATTTATTTAAGTTTGACATGTTCTGATATGGACTGAAAAATGGTTCAATTATTTTTTTCCAAGAAAGAAGGAAGAAGAAAAAAAACTAAAAGGAAAATAAAAGCAAATCAATAGGCAACGATAAATACAAACAATTAAAAGAAAAGCCAAAATGAAAGAGAATAAAGATAAAGAAAATACGGAGTACAAAATGAAAGAGACTGTGAGGATAAGGAAAACGAAATTAAAGTGACGGATGGGAAGTAAGTTAACTGCCACTGTAGCAGAGTGAAGTAAAAAAAATGAGAAAGAAAATAAAATGTGAGTGACCTGCTATTATAGGTTGTTGTTAAGTCACTTGACCTAATTGATAGATTTTTTAAAGTAGATGTATTTGGATGATCCTTTTTTAAGTAGAAGGGTTTAAGTGATGTTTTCACTATAGTATATGGGCTTATTTGACCCTTTTTCCAAAAAACTTTGTATGTCAAAGTTTTTATGTACTATGTAATAGTGCATATTTTGATTGAAAACTACAATTTATTTGAAATTAAGCTCAAAGTTTGCATATTTTAATACCTACGGGAAAAAATATTTTTTTACATCGAAATGTTTGACTTTTTAAATCATAATTATTGGTATAAAAAAGTGTCATATAAATGACGTGAGATAATAAAAGTAAGGATTTATAAATTTATTTAAAAAAAAATGTGTTGTGTGAATTTATTGACAGTGCTGGGTTGTGGAGAAAAATTGATTGAATGAGTGAATACGTATAAAATGCTGGCAAATTTGTTTTATTGACGGAGGCGGGTTGTGGTTAGCCTTATAGGCTGTATTCCTAGACAAGTTGATACCTTTATCTTTTGTTTTGGAGATATAAATGAGGTGCAGCTGCAGGTACTTTGTCGCTAGGGATCCTGCCTCCTTTAATGAGCAGTACCGAGAGAGAGAAAGAGTCTGCTTTCAATCTAGGAAACAACCAACTCATTGATCTCATATATGTTGAATTAGCCGGGCGTTGCTATCTTTCTAAAATGTATTTAACTGTAACTAACGGACTGTTTGGTGCTAGGGTGCAAAAATTAATCTTTTTCAAAACAAGGTGCAAACTCAATTTTGTTCAATAATGTGGGGTGCAAACTCCAATTCCCTCATAAAATTATTAAAATCTTTACTCTATCAATTTTAGCTTAAAGAAGACTATGTCAAGTTTAAAAGAAGAGTAATAACCCAAGCTTAGAAGCTTAAAATAGGAATATGTATAAGCTTTGAAAACCTTTTAAGCTTAAAAGCTTAGAAACTTTTAAGCGAAGACTATGTCATGCTTAAAAAACCCAAGCTTATAAGCTTAGAAAAACCCAAACCTATCTTAGTTAGAGTTAGTAGTTAGTAAATGAAACATACCTACAAATCTACCTGTAGCCTAAATTATAAGAAAAGAAATGCTCCTAAAAGATACACCTAGGTCCATATATCCATATTAAGATAATAAAAGAAAGCAGTAGACCAAGGGTGTCAACGATCGGGAAATATATTCGAAGAATGCAAGCAAGTTATACAATAAAATAAGTTCATTATTGTTGATTACTTTGATGTTTAAAAGTCAAACTCTCAACTTCTAAATCTTTGTTTCAAATGGTTTCTTTTTTTATTTTAAAGTAGATTTAAGATTCAGATTTTCCAAATGATATCATCTTTGACATGCTCTTAGATTTTACAAGTGAAAAGCCAATCCTTTAGGGCCAGTATGGTTGGGGGATTTCGGAGGGGAGGGAAGGGGATGAGTCATATTTAAATTCAAAATATTTTTTCCATTTTGAAAAATTCAAATAAAGTAAAGACAAAATAGTATATAAAAATACATGGTTGAACTAATTTTATAGTTATTTGAAGTTTAAAACTAAGAGCACAAGTTAGATACGCCAAAGAAGTGGTATATGTGATTATGTCGGCCTTAATACTTGACTATGAAAAATCACACTAAGACAAGTTAGTGCAGGACTGGAATACGCAAAATCATCATCTCAACAAATTTGAAGTTATAAGGATTGTCATCTTTCCAGACTCCAGTCATCCCATGCCCTGGTTTTCCATCCAACAGCATCTTCGTCTTTTTCTTCGCCTTCACCTACAGGCTGAATCTGCTTCTTCCATGAGCTTCACAATTCACATTCTTTTCTTGCCACTTGTTCATGATCTCCATCTCCTTTAGCCCGGCTTCAAAGTGGAGCCTAAGCCGAACCTATATAGACAAATGGGTTTTGAAAGCCCAAGTCTAATTTGTCATTAAATCGCGAATTTCACTTAGCCATTCTCAGAGTTGAATAGCCATGGAATCACCAAGCGCAAGGGCGTGTGATTTAGGCGACCGGATGAACAAAAGATCAAAGACTGGAGAATCCGCTTTTCGTAAGAACAAGCTGGTCGTCCTTAGCTTCTTGGCTTGTCCTGTGATTCCCGAAGATTATATGCATGCGTCTATTTTTGACCTAGAAGATCGTCCAGATTCGGATGATTCAAACGGTAATCCTCCTCCTCTTCTCCCTTTCATTCGGATCGACGGTAGCTATGGTATGGACCAGGGGTGGGGGTTCTGCGTTTTAGATTCGATCCTCTATATAAGTGGAGAAAAGAAGTCCGTATATAAAGTAGATCTATCAAAACTGTCTACCTGCACGAGTGATAATTACAAGGCAGAGAAGATACAAGCGGAAATGCTAAGCTTGAAAAATAGCCCTGAGTCTATGGCAATCTCAATGCCTGGCGGCACTGAAAGAGTTCTTGTCCTTTCAACCCGAAACCTCTGTAAAAACTCTTCTTTGAGAACTACTATAGATTTTGAAATTTATGATCCAAAGACTGGAATTTGGGAAATGCTCCCAGGAAGCGACAAGTGGGAGGATGATCATGTTGCTGTTTGGTTTGATATCCCATCATTCACTGTTCCGAACAACAACAAGTCTCTCTTGCTGATCCAAACGGACTCGGATGTCCCTTCAATCTTTGCCCTTAATTTCCTATCCCCCCATGAAGGCTGGCGAAAACTGGAAACCTACTCAGGTGTTAAAAGGATTCCGGTTACTGAATGGCCACACTGTTTCTTCGTGGAGGATGAAATATGTTTGACTGATTATGGTGCATATGATATTCGTGACCCTAGGAGATTTTTCTCTTTTCCAAAACCAGAACGGCTGGAATATCCAAGTTCATGGTCTTATTTTACACCACACTCAACTCAGGCAACCCTACTTGGCTATGATTCCGATACAGGAGATTGTGAGTTCTGTGTTGTTGAGCTGGGGCTAAGTTTCTATGACCGTTCAGCTTGGCTACAACAATGTGTTTACAAGTTTAATCTGAAGGAGTACAGATCAGAGAAGGAGAAGGAGAAGGTGGGAGGAGAAGCTGCTAAGCTCCATATTCGCATTCACAAGTACCTTTTTTTTCAACCAGTCTCTGAGCCGAGCAGCTGTTTCAATGCATTATATTTGAGTTCCTTTTAGCTCGGGTTGTTTCATGCCTTTGGTGTAATTCCCTGGCCTTTCATCTGGTTGAATAACACTCCCAGTTATCTAGCAGTTTGGTTACTTTAAAATTTACTAGTCATGGCCATTGGTAGCAGGCAATTGTTTTTTGTTCATCAGTGTTGTCCTTGGTACAAAACTTTTTTCCCTACTTTCTCCTGAGCTAACTTATAATTCAAGATTTTTTTGTTTTGATGTCTTTTTTTATTTAGTTATCCAAGTAGTTGTATGTTAGCCGATATTATCACATTCACACGTGTACATATTAGTTCATGTATATATATCCCTTGTACGTAGCTCCACTATAGACGTACATATCTTGTTTATACTACCTCCGTCCCCTAAGTTTGGGACAAAGGGGTGTGTTGTGGTTTTTAAGAAAAAGTAGAATTGTGTGGTTGATATTGAATTAATATATTGTGAATAAAGTAAGAATGAATTCTAGCCACTCAAACATTACCCAATATGGTATGGGACAAATTTAATGGGACAGACGAAAAAGGTAAAACGGGACAAACTTAGAGGGACGGAGGGAGTAGTTAGCAATTTATTAGGCTTACTATTAGTTCATGCAACAAACTATGTATCTAGACTAGTTCTTTGTAAATACTCTATTGGATAGAGTTTGTACGCAGCCTATTAATAGGCAGTTCAGTCGAATAAGATCAATGCACGGTGAATTTTACTCTAACTTTGTATATTGTCTTTTTCTTTTGGAAAAGGGGTTAAAATACACCCTCCTACTATGTCAAAAACATCACTTCACCCCTTGTACCAGTGTTCTAAAACACCTCAAAAGGCGCCGTGTAGGCGGGAGTAAGCGTGAGGCGGCTGTTCAACGCCTCGCATACCTAGTATGCGTGGAAAAAGGCGCGCGACTTTAGCAGCAGTACAATTTGGGCCATCACAAGACTTTTGATTGTCATAAAGCCGGCCCATTAATTCCTTGAGTTAGCATCCTGGGAGAACAAGACTAATTTATAGAAAATGCTAAGCAGGGATTCAAATTCCCACCGGTGTGGGACAAATGAATGGTAAAGAAAGACGCGAGAATTCAATACTACCTTTGTACGTACCTTTGTACGTAGTATAGCTCCCAACAAATTTTGAACATGGGTACCAATTAAACTTCCACATCGAGCAAGTCAACAAGTCATGATTTGTTATTGAATTTAACTTTCTTTGGTAATATACTACTTCGGTATTATCCTAAATAATAAGAATAATATTGTTATCATTAGAATTAGCAATAGTATTAGTGTTAAAGTTAGTTAGATTTAGAGTTAGTGTGAGGGTTAGTGTTAGTATTATTATTACCATTATAATATACGGAGCAATTATTATCACTATTAGTATTAGTACTAATAATAGTACCATTATGAGAGCCCGTTTGGTAACCATGTTTTTCGGCTTATCGGCCTATTTTTCACCAAACAAGTATCTTTTTTATTTTGTGTGCTGAATTGTGGAATATTAAAAAAAGCTAAGGTTGGAGTTATTTTTCTAACTGTATTGGCTAAAGTTACCGTAAAGATTATTTAGCTATTTTCATATATTTTTTCCTTATTTTATTAATAAAAAATATTTTAAATATAATTTTTTCATAAATCAGCAGAACCAGCCAATTCAGTCACTTTAGCCAAAACTTCATAAGTTTTCAAGAGAGTCAGCTAATTCACTTGGAAATGAGAAAAGTATAATGTTTTGTATATCAATTTTTAATATTAAATTTAAATATATAAAATAGCTCTTGGAAAACTAAAATAAAGGGGGGGGGGAAATTAAAACGCCTTTTCACGCTTAATTCCCGCCTAAGCCCGCCTAGGCTCCAAAGGCTTAAGGCTTCGACGTGCCGCCTCGACACACCTTACGCCTTTTAGAACATTGCCTTGTACTAATAAAAGCATCAAATTAATACACTTACTATTAAAATAGCATCAATTGGGTCAAGTTACCTGATGGCCACTCTCTATAGCAGGTCATAAGCTGATTCCAATTTTTATTTACTTTTTTCATTTTTTTTATTGGTCTTCCGTAGTACTACTAGTACTACGTACTACGTACTACCTATATACTCCGTACGTAAAATTCCCAAGTTTCCACTTTCCAGCTCTCTTTCTTTGTTTGTGTTTTCTTGTTTTCCTTTTCTTTCTTTTTAGTTTTTACTCGGTACCTTGTTTTATCTTCAACTATAATAGTAGTCCGTATAATGTTAAAATTTGTTTCCCTTCTTTTACTTTACTTTACTTCTCTTATTTAAATCTAAAAAACCTTAATTATCTAAAATTATTTTTCTATTTTTATGACTTTTCATTAATATATACTCCGTTTATATAACTTTCTTTTTTATATTTCTCCACTTGCTCTCCTAATTTATCACATTATATATTAATCTTACTACTTTTTCTTTAAATATTGTGTGTATCCTAATTTTATTAAAAAAATGTCTATTCGAAAGATTATGAAAAATGAGTCCAAAAAATATAACTTTAAATCTTGGAATGATAACGGAAACTTAGCCACATTGTTAAAGTATTTGTTCCACAATGAAAAGCTATAAAATAATAAAACACTTTATAAGACTTTGATGTTTTGAGATGAAACTCCGGATCTTAACACGTTTGATACATTTTCTGTCTGTACGACTGTACCCGACATTTATTGTTTCTAAAAGTGATTTTTTCTAACATTTTTTCTGGGACATAACTTTACTCGAAAACTTATCCGCGCAAAACACTTTCAAAATGTTTAAAAATACACCCGAGTACATTTTATTTGTGTAAGACATCAATATCCGTAAAATTAGATTTGTCAAAAATTCTGATTGAAATTTTTAGTCTGTAAAATTGGATGTAAATGTGAATTTTTTCGAACGATATTTTTTGTGTTTACCCTAACTTTATAAAATTCTGATTGAGAAAGATTTTGAGAAATGTGTACAAAAAAATTAACTTAAAATCTAGTCAGAAACATATATTGTCCGTACCAACATTTATTTTTTATAAAAGTGTTTTTTTACTAAGATTTTTTCCATGTGACATAACTTTACCGAAAGGCGAAAAACTTTGAAAATGTGTAATAACTATATCTTTTCATCCCATTTTACTTGTCTTACTTTATTTTTTGGGCTATTCCAAAATAAGTTTTCAAAATTTTCCTTTTGGAAAGAAATATATGTTCTAATTTTTTTCCCCAAGCGTCAGGGGAGGGGGATTTGGGAGGCCTGGGATAAAGTGAGATCAATCTCACTCCATTTCACTTTACTATACTCAAATGTCAACCACAATTTTTACCTTTTCACCCAATGTATTAATAATTTTTTTTAATAATTGCGACAAATCAAAGTAGAACACATAAAATGGGACGGAGGTAGTACAATTTTTTGGTATTCTCTGGAGCACTTTTATCTGTCAAAAATGTATGCTTGTAAAGTTAGATTTGTCAAAAAAAAAAAAAAACTAACTGGAACTTTTATTTATAAAATTGAATGTATCTGATCGACATTTTTTTTATAGTCTAACTTGACCGACAAAATTTATTAGTGCAAATGATTTTCACCTTCTTCCTTCCATATTCTTAAAATAGTGTCTTCATATAATTTGTATCCCTTGAAGTTGGCTTTCATATGGAACTTGAATCGTGTCCTTTGGATGCTTCTACAAAGAGATATGCTTAAACGATTGACAGAAGGTCATCCTGATCGTCGTTTTTCAGCTTCATTCATCTTCTTTTGATCCCATAGCCAATCCTAGAGCTCTATTGTCATCAAATCTTCATCGTGAACCTCCCGATGACCTCCAAGGCTCAAAGCTCTCAATCTACCCTCGAATGCATCTCAAATCATCCCAATTACTCCTCAAGTGCCGGTGTCGGGCTCTAAATTCCCGACTTTGACTCCCAATGACATAAAACTCGAACCAACGCCTGGTAAACATGACTTAAGCTAAAATTGAGACTTATAACACCTTAAGGCTAGGAAACCCATCAAAAGCCAATCTCAACACGCATCAAATGCGTGATGAAATACAGACTTATCAGGTTCCTATCGTGGGCCTGATTTCTAATTAGGCCCAACGGCTTATTATATTAATCCCGATTAGGGCTTCATCCCATTTATGGGTTAATTCTGTTTATTAGGCTAATCCCGTTGAGGGTTGATCTCATTATGGGCTGGATTCCGTAATTGGATCATGGTCCGAGTCTATGGTACCATCATATTGCTAATGAAATAGTGAGAGTAATGATTAGTACGGAGTATTAAAAAAGTAGGGGTACAGTGGAGAATTGTGTAAAGTAGACGAAATAAAACAAAAGAATTAGAAAAGTAGACAAATTTTTTTTAAAGAAAAATTTATCAAAAAGAGAAAGTGTAACAAATAAAAAATATGTAGTACTTCCTAAAAAGTGTAGCAAACAAAAAATAGGAGTGAGCAAATAATAGAACCAAAGTAAAAAAATGAAGTGAAATTTGAACATATAGGTGAAAAACAAAAAAAATAAAAAGAAATACTCCCTCTGTCCCTGAAACAAGTTCACTCTTTCCTTTTTGGATAGTCCCTGAATTAAGTTCATCTTTCCTTATTTGGCAAATTATCTTTATCAAAACAGTGCCAAACAATGTCCAAACAGTAAAATATACCCTCTAGTAAATTTCTTTCCTTAATATGTGTGAAAAACAATGGTGAACTTCTTTCGGGGACGGAGGGAGTAAAAAGGAAAAAAAAAACTAAAAAGGACCAGAGAATGAAAGCCAGCTAGAGCTACAGGTTGGGATTTGGGAACTACGTATAATATAACATATATACGTACGAGTAGTAGTTTATACGGAGTACAAAAATGGGGGAAGAAATGGAAACATATACGGCGAAGTATCAAATCAAATAATGACCGGTCATAGGGAGTTGCATCAGGTAACTTGGATCCAAATGATGCTTTTTTAAAAGTAAATGTATTAATCTGATGTTTTTGATATAGTAGGAGGGTGTATTTGACCCTTTTTCCTTTTCTTTTTCCAACAAACAAAGTGTTCTTCACCAAAATATGGATGCTCAATTAGCCACAATCAAGACTTGAAAAAAAAACAAAAAGTAATTGAGGAGGTTCTAGCAAATAAAAACTTGCATGACACAAACAAACAAAAACCGCAATACAGTATTTTTTAGCATTAACGGTATCGTCTGAGGGAAAGAGTCTGGTTCCTCTTCTTGAAGCTCTCTGTGCTTGTGAACAGGATTGCATAGCCAATTGATCCTAGGATCATTACTTATTGCCGCATGGGCTGTGTCGACCAAGATTACCTCAAAGTACTTGTAGGTAGAACTCTTATTAATTCAGTGTGAATTGATAACTCCAAGGTCACCCAGTTTCCGTCCAGCATGCTCTTTTGCAACTGAATGCTTGCTACGCTGTAACTTCAGCTGAGTAACTCCCTGGTTCGTGGGTTTTCCATAAAAAATTCCCTTTGCTGCCCTTTGGTACAGGTCTCTTTCTTCCCCCGCGTCTCACACCCACACGATAGACTACATAACCCTGTTTAGCCTTGTAGCAGAGCCGACAAGCCTTGTCGGGACCCAAGTTGTAGATTGTCATTAATCCAAGAAGTTTTTTTCTGCTTTTCTATGCCAATTGAATGTATTTAGTCAAATTATTCTTGTGTGTGGCTGTGGTCTGTTATTGCCATCTCTATCAAATCTATTATCTTAGCTCTTAATGATGCTAAGCCAAATTTCAAGCGCCTAGTAGCCACTGAAGATGCTATTATTGCTTCAAGATTTTGATAGAATATATCAATATAGAAGTAATACTTTGTTATTATCTTCAATGAAAGTGCCTAGTAGCCAAATAGTGCTTGATGGAGTATTAATGACTTATTTTTTGGAATTTTCTTCTTGTTATTCACTTGTTTTGAAACTGTATCTCCTGTAACAACCACGG